ACATATTATAGAGACAGGACAAAAAATTGACGTTAACACATCTTTTAAACCTATTTATAAAACGTGTTTGGGGCGTATCCTAAAGTTTGTGGAAGCCCTAGCAGTTAGAAAGTTTAAACCACCTTTATGCGTTTAAAGCAACAATTCGTCATCACACTAAACCTTTCTTGTTAAATTTTGTTTTGATACCAGTCAGGGTAGATGTACTATTACCTCTGTTATTTGATTTAGTGATCTTCATTGATATTTTGATCTTTAAAGTGTCCCTTTAACTTGACCTAAGTCTATTTTCTCACCTCTTAGCTCTTTATTAATTTCATATACATTCATTCCTATGACAAGTCCATGTGTTGAACACATACATTACATGATTCAGACAAATAATGTCTTCTTATTGCTTTATCTCAATTCATAAAGGGAACTAATTGTTTTAAACTTTCTACATTAAAAAATCAACATACAGAAAAGAAATAAAACAAACAACAGTAAATAGCTAAGGTCATGTGTGGGGTCATTTGTGTGCATGCTTTCGACTCATAGCGAAAAATGATTACCATGGGAATGAAAATAGGTATTACTCAGCATGAAAAAAAAATAAAGTTTGCCAAAAATAAAACTTGATAATTTCGTCCGAGATTAGTAAAAGGAAATCAGGACATTTGCATAGCAGACAAAATAAATAATAGCCGAAGGTTAACAGAAAAATATTGAATCACTTAATACAGAAAATAATCTGGAAGATTACAAGTAAACTGGTGAACGTGGGACTGACTGATTCGATGTTGTAGTCGAAATTAAAAACCTGAATTACAAATTCAAGCTGCTAAAGTTTAATTTGACTAAAGGGATAAATTTTCATTGGACAGGCTAGGCGATGATACTTATTATATGAGAGCTGATGATACTACCACCCAAGTTGCCGCCCAAGGATAATTAGAATGGAGAGGCAATCAAACTGGTGACCCACCGTTTGAAAACCACGTATTTAAGCCAATGAACTCCATTTTTAAGTGGTTTTTAACCGGATACCACTACAACAAATTCCTTATTTAAAATGAGCTATGAAGTGAAGAGTAATTTGGCAGAGACAAGTCTATCGTCAAATTTTAGCACGGATACTGAGGGCTTGCTTGCCATTTATTAGCCAACTCACACCTTCTCTGGCTTAGTAGACGTCATATCCGGTTGCCCATCTATCAAAGGATGTGTATACTGCTCAGAAGTCCGTTCCATCAGCCTTTATGAATGTCTTTGAGTGAGACATGGACATTGAAAGTGAAAGACATGAGAAGCCCGACTAGCTGTCTTTGATCATACGTGTCTGCGTCCTACCTCCCGCGTGAGTGTGTGTGTTAGGTGGTATAACAGAGTGAGCAATATTGAGGTGAGGCTTCGGTCGAGTGTTAGGTAGGTGGGGGGGGGAAATCAATCGACGAGGTTGTGAAGCAGTTACAACGATTGAGAGAGATGGTTAGCACATGTGTTACGGATGCATCCCTAGCCATCCATCGCCTTCCTCGATGGGCAATGTCAGCTGACATAGGATGAATCAGGTTGGAAGAGAGTTAGTTAGTGGTGGTCAAACGGAAACATGGCTTCATCAGTTAGTGAAATCCACAACAGATACTTTAAACCAGTCAGCCACCACGTCGGCGGTGTAGACTGCCTGACTTCCTAGTTGGGGTCCTCGGGATGGCGGGAACCAATGAATGCTGGAGACAATTGTTGATATGGCTGAAAATCGTCGTTGTCTGTGGTTGACTGGTGCAGATGGATCCACTCCTTGTGATTTATAATATCCAATAAAAGTATATTGTTCTTCCATATTATTATTCTTTGTGCCTCACTGACACTGCTGTTTATTATCTGTCTCGCCTTTGAATCTTTGTGTGCTCGAAGGAGGTAGTGTTGCAACTGTAACTGATGCACATCTGTGCAAAGTTCTACGTTAAAACCAATCTGTCAGTCAGTAGAGATGAAATCCATTGGTTTACGCACTTTATTATCATGTGGTCGGTTCCAAATTTAGCTCCGCCTACACACCTAATTTCTTCTTGGTGATCTGTTTGCATGATAAAGTGCAAAGTTCTATGTTGACACTGGTCAGTCGGGGTGAGATGCAGGAGTGCATTGGTGGTTATCAATGTTTCCTTGTCCGGCCTAGTTAGTGGATGTTTTCACCCTCTCTTTCACCTGATTACGTAAGGCTGAAAGTTTCCATTGTGTATGATTATTATTGTTGTTTGGGATAAAGTGTATATTATTATTGTACGCATATAGTGATTTATTGATTGATTTTTGTTTAAAAATGAACTTTGTGCAAGTATGTTAAAACTGTTTCTGTACAGAAACTTAATAATGTATTTGACCTGTAAGCAGCCGAGCTGATGAGAAGCCAACGAAATAAACAATGATGATACCATATTATTCTGCAAAAATCACTGTCGTTGGTGTCGTTCTTGCTTTATTCAAATTCATTAAGAGGAATAAATGTATGAAACATTTACATGTCAATGAATTATTCGAAAAAAACTATTATTACTATCTGTAGAAGTAATAATAGTAGTTATATAACTGAAGCCATACGAATAACAGCAAAACAACATAGTAATAGTAGTAATATTAGTAGTAACCGTTACCAGGCATGTATGATACAAAAATAGAAAAATCAACGCATAAAAACGAAATGCTTCTAAATAAAGATTTAAGCGGCAAAACAATTGAATGAAATAAGCCTAATTACTACACACAGACAAAATTATAACTCCATTGAAAGTCATTCTGAATCAGAATATCATTATTATAATTATATAGTATAATTATAAAATGAAACGTCCAATCAATTTTGTTAGTAATAGAGTCAGAGTGCAACTCAATTGAGAAAGACAATTTTTTTCCTTCACTTTCCCCAGTGGAACATAAGGCTTCAAGCTAGTGGCTTGAAGTTTCTGTTGCAGTGTTTATTTTACAGGATGAGGTTGCTAGCCTCATGTTCAACCTTTACTCTTCACCAGAATTATTTCTGGCTGAGCGAGGTAAAGGAGTGCGTCGGCCGGGTATCGAACCCAGGACCATGTGCATGGTTGACGAACGCCCTAACCGCTATGCCACCGACGCAAGAAAAACAATAGGACTAATTAATTATAACCAATATACTGTAAGCGTATATATATATATATGATGGCGAAGATTAGTAGCTCAAGTGAATGATTTCGATGTGGTTGTGTTCTCTCAGCTGGATAACTGATTCGCGAAGCTTTCATTGCCCTACTAGGCAACATCTTCAGCGCATACATTACTCACCATATTATACCACTTAACACAGGAGATAGAACGTAGACACCCATAATTAAAGACAGCTAGTCGGGCTTTACATGTCTTCCAGACATGTCTCACAGCCATAGTGGAGGACGGAGCGGACTGCTGAGTAGTATACACAAGTCTTTTGATCGATAGCCAGTCAAAGATGACGTGAGGTGGTCAGCGCCAAACGATTCTTCTATATCCATGCTGAGATTTCGTCAGCAATCAGTCCATTTGGGCTGATGCAACTTCTCCAATAAGAGAATTGGTCAACGCGCTTTAACCATTTCAATCCCTGTCTTTAACCTAGGAGACGATGTAATCCAGTCCTGCAGCATCACCTCATATCTGACAGGAGAAAATCTCATCAAAAACATTCGAAGTGCTTCTTTTTCAGTGTCTTCACCTAGAAGGCAGGGCTATATAATCTGCATATTCCAAGTCAACGAGATTATTACCTGATGGTCGCTGAAGTCAGTTAGGGTTGAGTCCATTAGTACATCTATAGTGAAACTGAACAGAAATGGGGACAGTAGTGATCTCTGAAGGACACCACTAGTCAAAAACAGCCTCCTCAAGTCTTATGCTTTCAGCAGCTATGTCTAAGTTTATGAAGAACGTCATTTGATCGACAGTCTGATATCCCGTTGTCTATAACAGAAATCAGCTGGTTACTGCATAAACTCTGAGACATGCATAAAGATAACATAAAACTTCTAACAGTTCATTGGTCAAACTTTGAATAAAAGTGAAAAACAAGAGTACATTAAGAATACATGTATTTATTATGATCACCTGTTCATTTGGAAAGCATATAACTGAAGCATTGTGATGAAATTGACTAGCTTTCATATTACCTGACGTTCAGATCTTGAATATGCATACTGAATTAGTATACAATGTGACACATTAAAAAAAACTAGGAGGTACTGCCGCACTACTATATTAACACCTTAGACCTATGATGTATCAACTGCAGACACTCAGTTTACACAGATCAATTGCACCCCACTTAACTCTAACTCATTAATCAAGTAGCCAAGTTAACATCAACACAACGGCTAAGACTAGTGTAAATGTTGTCGATATTACTAAAACGCTCGAGTCTTACCACACACACACACACACACACACACACACACACACACACACAGGCCAATCTAAGACATAGAACATCACCAATAGAAGATAACTGACTCTATATCTGAATCATTCAGCCACAATCCTATTGACAAAACAAAAATATAAGCTCACTAGCGACTTGCCCTATTCAGGTGGGTAGTTACCTGGGGTTCTGGTGAGAATTCGTGACCAGTAGGGTGCAGCAGGTCGTGTGTGAGGACAAATACTCGCCGAAGACATTGACTAGCGGTCGCGCTTTGTCGTGAATTGGCAGAAGTTAGAATTCATGGGCTGGCCAGTGCACCACGTCGGGTCCCAGTGGCTTAATGGTATACGAGCTCGCCTTGTAACCAGAAGGTCCTGGGTTCGAATCCCGGTGGGTGCATGCTGCTGAAGAGTCCCAAACTAGGACGAAACAGCTGTCCAGTACTCCCAGGTTTTCCAATGGTTCTCTAACCAATGTCAGCTCATGATGAAATCCTGTAACCAATCAGTCAAATCCCTACAAACCAGCACTTAAAAATATAAGCATTATTAAAATATAAAGTCATAAAAACAAAAAACAATAGACTTACATAATCCGGACGGATTTTCAAGTAAAAATTATTCTTCTTATACGATATGCGTAGTACTTTTGGCCATGCAAATCGACCAATACGTAGTCGATCCCGATAGATGACTACACCATGAAAACCAACACCAATGTAGATTTCAACATTTTCTGTATCTCTAGCGGGATGTAAATCAACACCATATAACTCTAAGCGTTTAGCAGTTTCTAAGTATTTAATATCTGCTTGATTCGGTTTCATGCCACTAAAGAGAGAGCGACAGAGACAAACAGACAGAGAAAGACAAAATCAATTAACTGAAGGAATAGTGTTCACCTATCGAGTAAATTAAAGACAGAGTTTATTTCAATGGAGATTTTGTTACGAAACAATATCAGTTAGGGATCAATAAAACCCAAGGAGCACTGAACAGCCCTTTCATCCTAGTTTGCGACGCATCCAACCCAAGATCCCATCAAACATTGAACCCAGGACTTTCAAGGGTTACGAGACTGAGTCGTCGACCATTTTACTTATTCAAATTAATCAAAATCACAAATGAATTTTAGTTATTGTTGTCTGTTATTGATAGACTAACTCTGAATACACAGAGATGAGTGTATTATATTCGGTATCATTCAAACATTGACTTTCAAACGGGCACAAATTATCAGCCATTTATCCGTTACCTTAAACACCCATTGTGAGCATAATGACCAGAAGTATTGCTTGGTTTGTATACTAGCAGAAGTATATATATAAATATATATATGCGCTGAGACCATTAGGTGGCACCACGTGCCAGGGCCTTAAATGGAGCTCCAAGGGAAGACGACAAGTGGGCGTCCAAAGGTGAAATGGAGGAGAGTGTATGAAGAAAAAGTGATGGCTTATGGGTAATCCTGGAGTCAGCTAAAATGGACTGCATGGGGATGGGTGAAATGAGGATCTACTGTTGAAGGCCTATGTACCGCTCAGAACCCAAGTAAATAATAATGATATATATATATATAATTATTATTATTTCCTTTAGTTCCTAGAGGAACGTGGTGCTTCAACTGCACATCTCCATTACGTTCTCTTTTCATCCAACGTTTTCACCTGGCTCTACGTCTGCTCACATACTTTCATCTCTTCTTCACGTGAACTTCTCCATATCAATATCGCACTGACGACCAACTCGCCGCTTCCCATTCGCGTTCCACTTGAGCAATGGCCTGGTGTGTGATGTCACATGATGGTTTTTTCAAAGTATGACCAATCCACCTCCATTTCTTCCTGCTTATTTATTGCACAATCGGTTCCTGGTTGGTTCGCTACCAGAGATCCCAACCTGTTGCTGATATTTTTTGGCCATCTGATCTTGAGTATTCAGTGAAGACAGGTGTTGATGAAGGTCTGTAGTTTGTTTGAGGTGCTCGTCATAACGCGCCAAGTCTCTGATCCGTATAGTAGCACTGACTTCACATTAGAGTTGAAAATCCCCACCTTATTATATTTATGCTGAGTGTTGTTGACCTCCACACAGACTTCAGAGTAGTGAAAGCTTGCCTTGCTTCCCCGATGTTCCCCGCTTTGATATCTTCGTTAGTTTCGCCCGCCTGTAGTTGAAACGATGCTTCCCAGGTAGGTAAAGGAGGTTGCTTCTTTCAGATTCCTCCCACTTATGCTGATTGTCGTTGCTGTTGCTGTTGGCCAGGAATCTTCACCAGCTCTGTATTTTTTATATTCACCTGAAGTCCTATATTCTTTGGATACTTCTTCTGCCAACTTGTTGCTTTTCGCTTGCAGTTTGTGGGATATCAAACATTCATCATTGGTGAAGTCCAGATCCTCCAAGTTTTTGTGTGGGTCCATTTTATGCTTGTTTCGTCGCTGCCCGCTGTGTCTGTCACATTATCCTGTCTACCACAATCAGGAAAATCATTGGCGATAGTAGGTGGCCAGCTTGTCTTACTCCCGTCTTCACTTCCAAGGATTCCGTGAGTTTCCCGTTGTGGATTACTTGGCATGCAGCATTATCGTACAACTGTTGGATGAAATGTATAAATGTTGGCGGCAACCCGTAGTAGCAAAGTAGTTTCCAAATCACCTCGCGATCGACGCTGAGCTATCGAAGGCCTTTTCAAAGTCAATGAAGTTGAGATGGAGTGCTGACTGCCACTTCAAGCTCTGTTAATATCCGATCGATGCGTGACTTGTTCCTCCTGAATCCAGTCTGTTCCGGTCAACCTTTTCATCCAGGGTGGCGTGTTTGATTCTCTTCAGGATAATGCGTTTAGTATTTTGCTTGGGATGGACGGAAACATAATGACGCGCCAGTTCTTGCATTGACTTAAATCCCCTTTCTTTGGCAGTTTGGGACAATTACGACAAAAGCATCTGCACCACTGGGATCGGCATTTGATCCTATCATCTTGAATCTGTATGTGTAAGAAGGATATTTCTCAGTCAAAGAGTAAGTAAAACAAAGTCTGCTGGCTGTATATAATTGATTGACTCTTGATGAATACTATTGTATGCAATCGTTTGCAACATGAGTGGTAAAGATTTTTAAAAAAAGAAAAGCAATAAGAACTGCTTAAAATTCTCCCCTTTTTTAACAAAAAAATCAATTTGTCCCACTAGAAATATTTCGTCTAGATAGTAAGACAAAGTAAGAATAACTAACTCTACTAGGAAAGCGGTCTGACTACACATAAACTCATATTTTAAAAAAATTGGAAATAAAGAGTCGAGAATAAGTGGAGAACAAAACAAAAAAAATTTCATACATTTATTCCCCTTAATGAATTTGAACAAAGCAAGAACTACAGTTTTAGCAGAATAAAATGGTACCATCTTTTGTTTCGTCGCCTTCTCGTCAGCTGCTTACAGAGCAAAGACATCATTAAATGTATCTACAAAAACAGTTTTGACATGCACCGAGACTTCATTTTAAACAAAAATCAATCGATCAATATATGCCTACAGTAATAATATATACGTATATATATGCAATATTAAACACTATTCCGAACAATAGTAATCATACACAATGAAAAACCTTTCAGCATTTCGAATTCAGATGAAAGAGAGATGAAAAATATCCAGTTACCAGACTGGGCAAAGAAAGACTGATAACCGCGTCTTTCTGAACGCATAAATCAGGTTTCAGGCGCTTGGTGGAAATGGCTTCAGCAAACTTGAGGAGAATTGAACCCTTTTGCCTATTGATAATTTTGAACGACTTTTCGACGTCCACCTCATGACCCGTGTCGAGGAGATGCCTGGCGATGGCACTGTTTAAAGCATTTGTTCCCAGCTGTAGACATAAGCTTTTTGGTACATGTTCAGAAAATCGTAGATATGCCCTTCTTTCTGTTCATCTGAGGGAGCAGTTACATTGGAAGGACAGAAAGAAGGGCATATCTACGATTTTCTGAACATGTACCAAAAAGCTTACGTCTAAAGGGAACAAATGCTTTAAACAGTGCCATCGCCAGGCGTCTCCTCGACACGGGTCGGTCATGAGATGGACGTCGAAAAGTCGTTCAAAATTACCAATAAGCAAAAGAGCTCAATTCTCCTTAAGTTTGCTGAAGCCATTTCCATCAAGCGCCTGAAACCTGACTTATGCGTTCAGAAAGAAGCGGTTATCAGTCTTTCTTTGCCCAGTCTGGTAACTGGATATTTTTCATCTCTCTTTCATCCGAATGCGAAATGCTGAAAGGTTTTTCATTGTGTATGATTATTATTGTTCGGAATAGTGTTTAATATTGCATGTATATGTATATATTATTAGTGTATGCGTATATTGATCGATTGATTTTTGTTTGAAATGAACTCTGTGCAAGTATGTTAAAATTGTTTTTGTTGATACATTTAATAATGTCTTTGGCCTGTAAGCAGCTGACGAGAAGGCAACGAAATAAATTTCTGTGCACACAAACAGTAAAAGTTTCCATCAACTTTCAGACAACCGAGAAGGGATATATATATATACTTTCAATTACACGGGGAACTTGTAGCTGATTAGTCTACGAAGCACTGAGGAATATAGAGTTAGAAGCCCAAGGATTTACATACAGTTTACTCAGCAGTTTATTAAATCTTAACCGATAATTGCGACTGATTGGCGAGGCAAGTAACTCATCAACACTACTACTTATTTTTATTATTTTATTTTCATCTAGATGGATAACAGTGTGCGTCGGTGGCATAGCGGTTAGGACGCTCGCGGACCATGCATATGGTCCGGGGTTCGATCCCCGGCCACAGACGCACTCCTTTACCTCACTAAGATAGAAATAAAAAGCTGGTGAAGAGGAAAGGTTGGGCATGAGGCTAGCAATCCCATCCTGTAAAAATAAACACCACTGCTACCGAAACTTCAAGCCACTAGCTTGAAGCCTTATGTTCCACTGGGAACGTGAAGGAATAAAAAAGGAATAAAAAGATGGATAACAAAGTAATTTTGTAATTTTTGTACGGGCTATGGGCAACTGAAAAAAAATATATAATCAACCCTATACAACATGCTGCAATGCCTTAAACGTTACAATCACTGGTAAACAAAAAAAACAGTACAAATTTATGGTATTAACCGGCTGGTGATGGTGTCCAGTCTGCAGTCTGCAGCAGTTGAGTTATTCAAATCTCCTTAAAAATGATTGTGTCTAAATTCTAGTTCATAGGTGTTTAAATCGTTGAACAAAATAATAATACCGGATACCTTCAGTTCTTTCAAAATCTTTTTTTTGTAAAAAGTGAAAAAAGCAGCAACAATAGCAGCAGGAGAATTATACAGGAAATAAGGCAACAATCACACACAGTTACGGTCTGAAAATGCTAGTGAAAAACTTATTAACTATAGGAATACTTTTTTTAAGTAAACAAAAATTAGAGAACTAACAGAGCCTAAACACACTTGATTTCACACTAGAGCTAAGAAATTGACTGACGACTTAGAGTGACACGTCAGGAATGAACACTGATTTAAATATGATGGAAAAGATTTGTAGCTCAGGTGGATGATTTCGATGTGGTTGTGTTCTCTGAGCTGGATGGTTTTATTTGCGAAGCTTTCATGGCTTACCCTACTAGGCAACATCTTCAGTGCATACTTCAATTTATTGAAGTGAGCTGTTAGATTTCTCCACGAAAGAAAATAAAACCAACATCATCTACAAAATAAATTGTAACAACTGCGAAAAACACTACATTGGTCAAAGTGGACGTCCCTTTCGTTTTCTTATCCATGAATATAAGCTAGCCGTCAAAAGA